ACAAAGTAACCTTTCAAATCAATTACATTGGTGAGTCCATCAAAATAATCCTCAATATGAACACGACGATGAGAAGCATTTTGCTCTATAGTGTAATAAAAGTTTCTTTTACCAACAAGGTCCCATTGGCGCACAAGCAATTTGGTTCGAATCCTAGAATGACATTGGTGAATATCCACAAAATATGGTTCATATACAAGAGAATTAAAATATTGGGATATGCATCTGAAACGCATTAACGATTTGACAGGAAGCCATGAAAATATATCAAACAATATTTCTTCAGGAATTGACATGGAGTTAATTAGATGCGGCGGCCTTTCGAATTTGTGGCAAACCCTAAAGAGACGTGCGATTTTATTTTTGCCCTTGGGAAAAAATGATTTTTTTAATTATTCTCTATATTGGTTTTCCTCCATTTAAAATAGTTTTTATTATCTTTTTAAATATTAAAACTTTGAGATCGACTAAAACTGTGTTTATTGAAAGGTCTCCTTAAATTTTACTTATTATTTACTTGACCTATCATGAGTCTTGCCTTTGCCTAATTAGTGATAAGATATGTAGCGTTTTAAAAGTATAGATAATTATAGTATATATGATAGTGAAGTATATATAATTACGTAGTTTTCCTAAATTTTATTATACTTATAAGTGAATCGCAACAATGCTAGAAGTTCTCCAAGAAGTTAATCTTGCTATGGAGGGATCTTTTATTCTTATAATAATGGTGGTGTCAGGTGTGGGCCACTTTCCCTACATTAAATATTAGAATTTCATGGATAGTAATATGTACGTATAGAGAAATTATTTTCAATAGAATTTCGACTTAAGTAAAATATTATTTCAAGAAAAAATGGTTTGATATATCCTCAATTTTGTCATTTAAAGCTTGATTTAGGTAGAAACTAACTTATGACATGACAGGCCCTTTGTACACAATGAAAAATGTATCTGGAGAAGTCAGCGGACTAAGAGCCCGTTTGGATTGACTTAAAAAAAGTAACTTTTTAAAGTGTTGGAGCTTATTTTTAAAATAAGTAGTTATGTGTTTGGATAAAAGTGTTGCAGTTGAAAAAAAAATTGTTGATGTGTTTGGCAAATAAGTGTTGGTAAACACTTTTTTTAATCAAAATGTCTGAAATACCCTTTAAGCTGTTAACATGATAAAAAGTTGATTAATTTAAGGTTTTTATACTTAAAAAAAATTAAAACAGAATTAATTTATATTTTACATCCATAAGTAATAATATTTTCCTATCATTCACATATTTCTTTACCACCTTATAAGAGGAATAAAATAATAATAATAATAATAATAGTAATAGTAATAGTAATAGTAATAGTAATAATAATAATAATAATAATAATAATAATAATAATAATAATAATAATCAAAATAAAAATAAAAAAAATAATTCAATATGGGCAATTTGGAAATTGTATAAAAGAATTAAGGGCAGAAAGGTAATATACTTGGTCAACATAAAAGAGCTTTTAAGTTTAAAAAAAAAAAAAACACCCCTCACCTAGCTTTTAGCTTTTGGCTTAAAATAAGTCACTTTGCTAATTGTCAAACACAGTGGCGGATCTATGAAGGGTAGTGGGGGTGTCACTCCACCCCCGAACTTCGACAGAAACTCTATATATACATATAATATTTATATAAATATAAAGCGTGTCACCCACAGAACAAAATTGGCTTGTGGTGCCACGGTAGGAGGGCAACTTTAGAAGGCTGATGTTGTGGGTTTGAATCCCATTTGTACCTATTTTTTTGAGAAATTTGCTGCATACGTTTTTTAAGAAAAAAAAAAGCTCCAAGAACGTTTTTTTAAGGAAAAATAGCTGGCACAATTTTTTATTTTTATTTTTTATAATTGTTATTGACTTAAATTAAATTAATTACATTAGTACTCTTTTGACTTTTCTTTTATTTGATTAAATACTCAATAAAAGTGTAATATCTTATTATTTTATTTTATTGATTGATTTATGATATATATCGAAAAGACGAATAATTCAATAAAATATAAAATTAATTTAATCGATAAGTCTATTTGGCACCCACGAACTCTAAATCCTGGATCCGCCACTGGTCAAACACTCTAATAAGTCAAAAACTGACTTTTAAGTCAGTTTGACTAGCTTAAAAGCCCATCCAAACAGGCTCTAATATAGTACTAATACCTATCATTGCAACAATTTGGTGAAGAAAGAAAACTAACACAACAAAAAAAGTATTACTATATAAGAAGAGTGAATAAATTCACTCCTCTTTCGACACGTGGCACCAAAAAAAGGAGAGGGTTGAACATAAGTGTGAATGTGAGGGTATTTTGGGTATTTAAAAATACCCTCACATTCACACTTATCTACTAAAAAAAATTACTATATAATATATATAAAATTACTATATAATATATATAATGTATAATATAAGTACTAGATAAGTGTGAAAGTGAGGGTATTTTGGGTATTTAAAAATACCCTCACATTCACACTTATCTACTAAAATATATATATATATATATAAGTAGTAGATTTAAATATATTTAAAAATAATATAAGTAATACTATACTTAGTATGCTTAAAAATAGTAAAAACTACATAAAAAGTACTACATATCATATTACAATAATTAACAATTATTTGACACTTTCAATTCTATCAATGCCATATAAATTAGGATAAAAAAGGTAACATTTATATTCAAAAATAATCTAAGTAATACTATACATTACAATAATTAATAGCTTAAATATTTAAAAGTTATATAAAAAATTTAATTGACTCTCTAAATTCTATTGCTACCACATAAAATGGATTATATGATAAACATATATTGTTTGAAATTGACGAAAAATAAACTATAAATTACAATAATTAACAAAAAAAATTGTCGGCTCCAAAAAATCTATCAATTAAGAACATATATTGTTTCAAATTGACGAAAAAGAAACTATAAATTACAATAATTAACAAAAAAATTCTCTCAACTCCAACAAATCTATCAATTAATGCCACATAAATTGGGACATGGAAAATAACATATATTCTTTAAAAATTAAGTTCAAAATGTACTATAAAATACAATAATTAACAACTTAATATAGTAAAGAGACATATAAAAAATGGTTAATATTTGAAATTTTGCATGTGCCACATAAATTAGAACAAAGAGAGTAATAAATATTATTTTCAAAATTCTGTAAAAAGAAAAGGTACTACAAATCACAATAGCTAACAATTTAAAATATTTTTAGAATCATATAAAAATTTCAATAGCTTCTCAAATTTCATAATATATGACATAAGAAGAGGGAATAACCAATATATTTATAAAAAGAAATGACATATAAAATGAAATGGACAGAGTATTAGTTTTTGAAAATGGAAAAGGACAAAACACATATAAAATTAAAAGACATATAAAAAAAAATTGGTTTAACTCTCAAACATAAAAAGTAACATATGTTATTAAAAACTTAAAAAAAAAGTACTATATTTTACAATAAATAATAACTTAAAATATTTACAAGACAACAAAAAAAAGACTAATTTTTGTACTGCTTGTGTCACATAAATTAGGATTGGGATGATTTTAAAATTTTAATTTTGGTTATACATTATAAAATAGCCGAAAAATTGAATGATATAATTTTTTTAAAAATAACCGAATGAATCGTCCTATCGATAACCCTAATGTTACTTCTACTCTGTTTATTTTTACTTAAATTTAGAAAGATATATTTCATTTCTACCCTCAATCTTATCGGTACATTTATTTGCTATTTGAAATTGAAATTAAAAAGACAAATGACAAATAAGTTTTTATATTAGCTCACTTATGAGCAAAATATATTATAACAATCTTTACTAATTTTATAACAATACATAAACTATACTCTCTCCGTCCCATATTAGATGGGCACTTCCAACTTTACACGGTGATTAAGAAATCATTAATACATTGGAAGACTTCACCATTTTACCCTTTGTTTATATCAATGCACATTGAAATGAGTTACAAAAAATACACATACAATATAGGAATGGTCATATTAATTGTAGGGTAAAATGGAAAAGAATTAATTAATTCTATCCTAATTTAATAAGTGCTCAAATAATATGAAAAATTTTTTTTTAGTAAGATTCTCATTTAATATGGGACGGAGAGAGTAACAATATAACTTTATTAATGTTGGGCCCGGGCAGCGCCCGGGCTTTCTTTACTAAGTATATATAGAGAAGTCAGCACTAATATAAATAACCTTCTGTAAACATGACTCATGATATTCATCTAAAGTTCTTTTGTTTTTTTATTCATTTTATTTTCCAATAAGCAAGACCTTATGTCTTATTGAAGATGACTAAGAAGTGGTTTCTTGACTCTTTTACCATAATACAGAGTCATAGAACCAGAACAATACTAATATTTGTTCGTAATCTATTTAAAATTACGTTTGAAGGGTCAAGAGTGAAAAATTTACTTCCAGATTTCGGTAAAATTTGAAGGACCATAAAGTTGATGTACTTTTTCATAGTGAACTACTCTAATTGTGTCAAAAATTGGACAATGTCAACTTTATGGGTAACATTTTAGATTGCACCACGTGTCCCTATTTGATCTTCCGTTATATTGAAAGGCATATATGCTCTAGTTTTTGAATGACATGAATGCCAATGTCCCAAAAGTATAATGGAAGGTATCATCCGTATACCATTTCCAATAGTTTGGAGGTTTAATTGTTATTTTCCCCATTTAAGTTGAAACTAAAAAAAATAAAAAAAATAGGTCAAATGTGTTTTTGATACTTATATCTTTAAACTATCATCATTTTGTAAATTTTATACCAAAAATGTCTCAAACTAAAATTTGGTCTTTATAGTTTTTACATCTAATTTTAATAAGTCACCCTCGTTTCTAGCCACCAAAACATGAGGAAACTATAACTAAATGCAGAAGACTAAGCACAGACAGAGAGTTAACAAGAAACACAGATAATTCCCCTGTATTATTTGAGTCGCCACAACAAACCTTGCAACTTTTTTTTCCCATTTACCAATGGCGTCTTCTGGAGCTTGGACGTATCGAGATCGAACTTCCGAGTTCGCGTCTTTGTCCAAAACATTGAAGAAGATCGCAGCAAATACCGGATCAGATCATGAATCACAACAGAATTTTGCTTCTTCTACCACAAAACTACTACCAACTCCAGATCGATCTGAATTCAACAAGAAGGCTTCGAGAATCGGGTTGACGATCCATCAAACCTTTCAGAAAATCGATAGGCTTGCTAAATTGGCAAAACGATCTTCCATTTTTGACGATCCAAGCAAGGAAATTCAGGAATTGACAACTTTCATAAAGAATGATATCACATCACTCAATGTCGGTGTTTCTGATTTACAAGCCCTTCAAGACATGGATGTAGCTGATGGAACTCATTCGAAAGATACAATTGTTCATTGTACTGCGATTTGTGATGATCTGAAGACGAGACTTATGGCAGCTACAAAATCATTCCAGGAGGCACTTACTATAAGGACAAAGAACATGAAAGCTCACGAAGATCGAAAACAAATATTTTCTACAAATCTCTCTAGAGAAAATCCTTTGAAACAACCTCCAAAAACCTTAGCAGAGCCACCTCCATGGTCAATTCCTACATCAGGAAGTGGTGGAAATGATGTTCAGGGCAGCAATCAATTAAGACGGAGATTGGCTTCAGACAATCCATCGTCTAACGAAATGGAAATGTCCATGTTACAAGATCAAGTGGCTCCGAGACAAGAAAGTTACTCTCAGAGTAGGGCAACTGCTCTTCAAAATGTTGAATCGACTATTTCAGAATTGGGCGGAATATTCACACATCTAGCTACGATGGTTGCACAACAAGGTGAGCTTGCTATAAGAATTGACGATAACATAGATGAGTCATTAACAAATGTTGAAGGTGCACAAGGTGCTTTGTTGAAGTACTTAAATCGAATATCATCAAACAGGTCTCTCATGATCAAAATTTTTCTTGTTGTGATACTTTTTCTCTGTGTATTTATATTTTTTCTGGCGTGATGTCGGTTAGGAGAGGTGGATATTCACTGTCATTGTTACATGTTGTGGGCTTATTAGTAATCAAAAGGCCGATTTCATTCAATAGCTTGCTCTGAGATGTGTAATACTTAGCTGTACTTTGTAACATAGATGCTGCAGTCGCAAATTTCTTCCAGATAAACACAGCCAAATTATGAAGATGTGAAAAAAAAATAGAAACGATTTGGTAGAGTGAACAACTCTACTAAAGCTGACATTCTTAAGAGTCGAGTTTACTTTTGTGGAGTGAACAACTCTACTAAAGAAGCAGCCATATCGCTATACTCGACTATGATGTGGGTGAAGTATCTTTCAAAGTATACCATAGATGTGTCATTTTCCACTAAAAGACTCACTATTGATCGGTGTCAATCTTTGGCGGACAAAATTAGTGCCAGAATCATATGCTGGATGGCTAGACAGAATAGAGTTGATTAGATCAGTGTTGTTTGGCATCCAGGCTTATTGATCACAATGTAGCCTGTTTCAAGTATGTTGTCATACTATTCTAAGGAGGTTTGGCTGAAGATATTACGTTAGCTGGGATAAAAGAGAACCATTCTACATGCATGGATGGCAATGGGGCAGGATGGGTTGAGGCTTGAATTGAAGTTGAACTTATATTTCAACTCTATCCACAATAGTAACATTCAATGTTCATCAATATATAATTGGAGTCGAAATTTTTTTAGCTTTTGTTTTGTTTAAATCCGTGTAAAATTCATATAGACTTGCACCCTGCATCAACTCTTAAAAAGTTATTCTAGCTTGCCCTGCATAATCTTAAATCCACATCCGTCCCACAAAACTTAAAACATTGTCATCCCTACTACCATGTACACAAGAATTAATGGTATTGGGTTCAACAACTTAGCAAGTCCAAGACATCCACAAGCCTTCAAAAAAAGGCTTGCTTTACAGCAGTGGTAAGTTTTGATACATATCATAAAAACCAATTAGTGCATATATGTTAAAGCATAACAGGAAAACTCTTTAAAACTATTCTATATATTTTTTACATTATTGGTTAGGTCTGATTTTATACAAATACTTGGATACAAATAAATAACAGTTAATTGCCAATATATATATATATATATATAGAATTGTAGCCATATAAAAATCTTGGAAAGTGTAAATAATTTATAATAGAAATATTGTTAATATAAATTCTGAACCTCTTGAGAATATTATTTTTTTCAAAATGAAAAAAAAAAATTACATTTATATTGGGTATAGAAAATTTTCTTATTGATTTGAACTATCAACCATCTGATTCAGAGCTTTATCAAATTTTGGGTATATCTAAAATATATTGTGGTGTGAGTGGGTAGATAAGTATGATGTTTCCCATAATCATAATTTTGCAATTGTCATTTTCTTTTTCTTGGTGTCACATATTTGATTGCAACTTTTTGTTTTTGGAGTTTTTTAAACTTTTGATACTTGTTTTTTTAATTGTAGTACATTTTAAATATTATATCTTCTATTTCACATATTAATAATATTATTTATAATAGTAAGGATTACTTCAAGTTGATGTAATCTTGGCCATTATTTTCAATACATTACCTTGGATAATGTTGTAAACATTTTATATATTAATATTTAGATTTAGAAAGTTTGGATCAAAGTCCTGAAATATTTCAGTTAGGAAATAGGTTTTAAAAAAAAAATAATGGTAGGGGTACGTAGGGCGGGGCAGTCGTATACTACTTGAGAGTAAAATTGTTAAACCTCATAGTGTTGAGTTTATATTTATACTTTTTTTTTTTTTTGCAATCTTTAATATTGTCTAAGATAAAATAAAATTATAAAATTCACTAGAATCTAAACCGGCATGTCCCATTATTTTACTAAACTAGACTTAAATTAATGTTCCTATGTTTTTACCTTTCGAGCTCAATTTCAGTAGGCATTAGAATAAAATAATTTAAAGAACAAAAGACACAAGTTTAATAAACTACACTTAATTATTGTGCCTGTGTTTTTTATCAACGTGATTCTTTTATTTAGGAGTGATGATGATCGAATTTTGTATATGAGAAAACTTATCTCATTACTAGGACAAAAATAATGAAATAAATAATCTAAAAACTACCTAATACCTCCTATCAAATATAAAATAAAATAATTCACATTTTATCTTCAGATTATTATATTTTATATATACCTCACAGCAAGCAAACGATTCAATAGAACCCCGGAATAGATAGATTAATACCAAGGTAGCACTTCCAATAGCACAAATTCAAAACAATTACAAACCCTACCAAAAAAGATATTACAAAATAGAAATGTTTACAATTCAACACCCAAATTAACTACAAATCTCAAAAACCAACTCTATCCCAAACCCAAATTCCAAAACCCCTCAAAATCACAAAATGATAATAAAAAACAAAGAATAAATCTTTTTCATCTAATTTTTTTAAAAAAAAATAAAATCAACTCCTCATGTGTCTGACCTTGTGCCAACCCTTCTTGCAAGATTCTCCAACAACTTTCACACCCTTCTTGAAAAGGGTCGTCAACTCTTTTGCTCTTTCTTTAACTTGTTTCTCAAACCCACCCATTTTTTCCCTTTCAAAGTGTTTCTAAAGAGAGAATAAAAAAGAAAATTTCAAGAATGTATGTAAGCTTCTATTGGTCTCAAAGCAAAATGTGCAAGACAACAACGTTTATATAAAAGAAAATTTTGGGCTTAGTGGAATCCAACGCATCAAATAGATATACACGTTGCGCTGTTCCAGAGGGGCCTGGATTCTTTCTTCGTCCATCTTTACTTGTTCACAATATTAAAAATAATTATTTAATAATACTTGTTCAATTTGAAAAATTAAGAAATAATTTATCTTTTTTACGTCTATTTTACTCTTGATGTATTCAACATCTAATATATTTCCCAAAATATTTGATTTAATATATTTAAAGGGTAATATAGATATATAATAGACGACTATTATTGAACAGAAAAAATAATTAGTAACTAACTGCTCTAATTTTGAAATTGCACATCTAAATACTTTAATTTATCTCTACAGATACTATTTTTATAATAAAATTTTATAAATATCGAATGCGAATAAAGGGAGAACAGTTGTCAATGTTGTTGCTTGGCATATTTGAATACGTTTAGCGGAAACTGTGGTCATTGAGCGCTGTGTGGACCTCTTAGGGACCACCGATGAAATAAATTTGAACAAAAAGTCTTTCAGACAGAAAATCTTTTTCATGGCAGCATAAACCAACGACTTGCGAGACATGTTGTTTACATTTGAACCAGCTAAATATGAATGCATGTCCATTTCTATACAGCTTGCACATATTTATTAGAAAATGAAATTTATGGTTACTTATAAATTAAATGAAAAAATAAATAAAAATTTATGTATAAGAATAAAAATCTTTCATGTTTAACTCAACTCTTTTATATATATAAAAAAAGGTCATAGATATTTTTTTTTGAAAAAAATAAAATTAAAAGTAACTTATGTTTATGGCAAAGCTCATAAGAAGGCTAGGTGGTCCGGATCAAAGTCATGATTGAACATGACGCTTTTGTTATCAGTTATAGCTTTTGACATACTAATAAGCGTTTGATCCTAACAAGTGGTATCAGAGATAAAATTCTGAATTTGATTCCGAAGAGCAACATGATACATATGAGGTAGGTGTTGGGAGGGGAATTGTTGGGTAATGTCAACATCAGCCTATGGCAAGGCTCACGAGGGGGCTGGATGGTCCAAATTATCGGATTCATGATCAAACATAACACTTGCCTAATGAACTTAGTCAAAAAATGAAATTACATCTTTTTTATCAATTATATCTTTTGATATAATGATAAACGTTTAATCCTAATGCGTACTAAATAAAGTTGGACTGTTTTTTTTCTTTAAAAAGTAATGTTTCTTGAAGCAACGGGTGGGAAGTGGGCCTTCTTTCTTCTAGTATATTCCATTGACAGCTTCAACGCATTAAAAGTGTAGACAAATTTCTTAAAAGGATTTTAAACTTTAAAGAGTAATGACTCCTTTTGAATCAAATCTCACCTGGCAAATGCTCAATAACAAACTTCCCTTTGACATAATCATATTATTTCCATGTTCTCCCACATAATAATAATTAGGTGTGAGTTCATACGCGTATCCAAAATTTTGAGAGAATGAATGCACTATTACGGAAAAATAACAGTTCAAGAAGAGATATTCATCATCAACAATTCATGATGTATATGTTATTAGTAAGGTTAAAGCATTGTATAATGAATGAATTACAATACAAGACTTTAAGTTTCCACTCCAGCAATAAGAGCATGCAAGGATTAAACCTATGATGAATAATTGTATGAAATTTTCAGCAGAGAAGTGAGCTGCACTAAAAACTACTGAACTAACAGTCACTGCTTCCTGCCATTTCATTGTGGAGGAAAGCGCGGTTAAGAAGACACCTCTGTAGACGATTTCTTCTAGCAACGGGGTGATGACACAGTAGACTAGAATACATGATGTTATCGATATTGGACCACTCGAAAGAATTTCCTTCAAGATTGGATTGTTAACTTCCTGCAAAGTTCATGAAATAATATTCACTTTCTCACACCATATAGCGAGACAGTATGATGAAGATTAACGAGAAAATGCATCTGTAAATGCACATTTGCTTTATCTCCCACGATACTTCTGGATTGAACAAGTTTAAAATGCAAATAACTCGATCAATTACATACACACTCAAAATCAACTAACTTGTCTAGTGCTTTAGTTTTGCATACTTCTAAGCTAAAACATATGTTTCAGCTACAAATGCACTAAACGTTTCAACAATCAAATTGATAATGCAACTGAAAAAGGAATTGAAAACAACTTACCTTAGTACCAACCAACGTGTCAGCGATAATTGATGTTACGAAAACTAAAACAACCAAGAACACAAAGCCAAGAGCTGACGCAAGTAACCAGTTCCTTTCTCTGGTTGATTGCTTCCCTTGAAAGAAATCACGAAGCTTGTATTGGGGATTACCGGTACATCTTAAAAGAAGCAGAACCACAATAAGCTCTAACATCTGAAGTACAACTAAGGATAATGCCTGTGGTGGAAAACAAGCAACGGTACCATCAAATTGACTAAAATCACAAGTTAACCGACTATTTTCTAGTTGAGAAAAAGTTCAGACGTTTCAAACGATATATTTCCCTTTTGAGTTCCACAAATCTGGTTTAATGGTCTAATTTTTAAGAGTAAGAACTTCTGTGCTCAACAAGGAAATGAAAGATGCCTGATTTTTTACTTTGAGCGAGTCCCAAGAAGCAACAGAGAACACGAGAAATTATGTGTATATCTCTTGAACTTAATCACAATTCATCAAACCAGCTCACAGCAATAGAATAATAACAGTTTATAATGTTACATAGAAATCTTACTCACCTCGGTCTGTGGATCAAGTGCTGAACAATGCAATATGCTGGTAACGGCAGACAAGCCTCCAAAACTTAAAGGAACATGCACACTGAACAGGTAGAAAGCCATGCTGCTCCACAAACTTCCCCTATCACAAGGAGTATCTGATTTAAGGACAGAGAATCCCTATTAAGTTGAAAAAATGTTCACTTATATTTCTGAATGAAAATATTGCACAAATTTTGGAATAGAAAACTGAGTACAAGCTCGCTTTATCACCAACCATTTCATGACTATCCATTTCCATGTTGATTAATCAGTGGAACTAGTTTGATCTTATAAATATAAGTAACTATTTCCAAGAAAGTTCGACTGGGTTTTGAACCACGTTACCCCACACATTGGTGCTTGCTTTCTCAACTTGATTCAATTTATTAGTTACGCGACAGAATCTATTAATACACTGAATAACTGAAAAGCTCAAAACATCCTATGTCCACATCATGGAGTACTGAGGACCCATCTATCTGCTTAACATATTTCCTGCAGGTTAAGTCTCTCGACCAATTGATATGGATGGTTCCTGGATTATTTTGCTCATGCCTCGATTAACCACCTGGCAGACTATCCAGCCCACAAGCACAGGGTTTCCAGGGTGATCCCGTCCACCAAAGAGAGAAGATGGATTGATATCAAGTGTTGTAACTAGGATTAACACCTGAGACCTCTTTTCTCCCGTGCCTCAAACACTAGCCCTTTCCTTTTGGGACCATATTTAGTTCAAACATGATTATCTCATGGCTTTAAGACTTTAGCTACTTGCTTGGGTTTATTGTCCTTTTGGAGTTTTGATCTATTTATAACCTGTGTGCATCAAATAATTTGCCAGGGTGAATCAATGATAACTCCATATCATCTGTTATGAAAATTCGCCTTCTGCTTCCAGAGTTCCAATTTCCAAGACGGTATTTACTTCAAATTACCTATTGTTTGGACAAAAAATCGCAGCAATGTGATCCATAGTCTGTCCTCACTCATTTTATTTGTTCCTGTGTAGCATCAGAGAAAATCCTAAATCTTTGCTTCAATTTATGAAATGAGGGAGCTCAAAGCACACCTGGAACATCCTGGATGCAGTTTCTTCTTAAATTGGGCTGGCCAAGGCACCTCATCTTCTCATATCATTGCTGCTCATTCCCTTTAGGCCGAAGTGTTTGGTACAAACTCTCCATAGGAAGTTAGGACCCCCAGAGTAGCCCGCTTTTATGTAGGAATAGAGTCTGGTCCAGCCCTTTAACTCAACAATGACTAACAATAACATGTCAAATTGTTCAAGTTTTGGGAAGCTACATCAAACTTGTCATTAAAGGTATAATGGTCTTAAAACAAGTTCCATAGCAGCTATGCAGCTGCAGAGCTCCAAACTAACTAGTAACAACCTTTTTCATCTCCCCGTATGTACTCCCTCCCCCTCCATTTCTGAGGCAGATTTAGCTGTTTTCGGTGGATTCAACTGAACCTATTGCTTTCAGCTTATACCACATAAATACGTGCAAAAAGAACGTATATTTTTTTTAAAAAAAATAACTTTGACTCTGAATCCTGGATTCGCCTCTACTCCACTTGTTTTCACTACTATTTCATCTAAGCTACTAGATTTCAAATTCAACACCCTACACATCAATAAAAAATTCGAGAAATTGCCTTTCGACATTTTCATTATTTATTGGGCTTTACCTTGTCTTTGATACATGATACATCAAGAATAAAAAATAACCCAAAATATTACATAGAAATCTTAATTTATTAACTACTCCCTACATCTAGTTTTACCTAGCCCTTTGGACCAACATTTTAAAACGTATATTTTCATCCTATTGACATCGATCATCTAATTTTTTTTTACTTTTAAAATAGGGAAAAAGATCTGAAACATATTCGAACTTTGATTGAAATTGATGTAACGATACCAAACTTTGAAAATGACCTTTTACCCCTGCACTATTTATAATTATGCAATATTTATGATTTCCACGTGGACACATATATACCTTTAAAATACACTATTAAATAGTGCAGGTACTCCATAAAGTTTGGTAATTGTAACAACAATTTCAATCAAAGTTAGAGTATTTTTCAGACCTTTTCCCTTTAAAATATCGAGCTGGATTAATCCAATTTAGCTTTAAAATTAGTCAAATTAACGAAAAATGTGCAGATTATTATAGTGAAAGACAGAAACCCATAGTTCTCTGCTTATACCAATCTTTCATTTCTATCAATTTTCTTTTGCAATATTTATAATTATATTAACAATGCCAAAATACGGGGGAAAAGGGGAGTGGTGAAAGAGAAAGTACCTGGGGGTCCTTGTTTTTTATGCAATTGCATTTGGGATAAGCGGTTGATCGGAAGAACTTAGAAGGGTACAAATGATTGTGAAAATCTTGAGTAAATTTCAGAGATGAAAGACAAATTGCAGGTCCACGGACAAGTAACCCGTTCATATTTCTCTAATTCGACTTCCGGCAACACTTTGAGCTCAGTGTGAGGGTAGAGATTTGCGGTGTCTGGCTTAGGCCGAAGAATGGGTGTCAAATACTTGTCGTTCTCGGGTTATTGCATACTTAGATATTTGAACAAAAGTATTCAATAACCCAATAATATATATCTTAAGTGCTAAAATGCCAAAAACAAGTTAGGTAAAATAAGAATTGAGCAACGACATATTTACCTGTTCAAATTTAAATGTATATTTATGTATACTTAAAATGAGAAGGCCAATTTAATTGTATATAAATTTAAATATCTATTTATGCACACTTAAAATGAGGAGGCATAAATATCATATGAAATCAAGTTAAATTACATGTTTTTTTATGTATTATGCCAAATGAGAAACATAGGCTTTTCCTTGCCTTGCAACACTTTGAAGGAGCACTAAGGATTGTGGCAGAGTGATAATTATTTATTCATCCTTAATTAAAGTCTCGGGTTTGAGTCTTCTTAGATACGGAATCACTTTTGTTAAGGGGAAAAAAAAACACTTTGAATGTCCAATAGAAAAGTGTTAACTTGTTATTATCGAGTTAGGCATGATGAGTTGAAATTGCAATAAAACCTTCAATAGAAAAGTGTCAACTTGAGTTACGCATGATGAGTTGAAATTGGAATAAAAAACATAATGTTGCTGCCCAGGATCGAACTGGGGACCTTTAGTGTGTAAGACTAACGTGATAACCACTACACCACAGCAACTTCTTATTACATGCAATCATTTTATAAATTTAGAATGTAAGTTCAAGAAAAAAAGTGCAGAAGAATGATTCTTGATGGATTTTTATGAACCAAAGAGAAACTTCATCATTAACAAACTCTGACTATTCCATTACGTTGTTTTCCTGCTCTTCCTAAAAAAAATATTTTGGATTTTTAATTTGCTAGCGAGACTTAATTGTAAGTTTTATAAAGTGATTCTTAGATTAATTATGTTATATGAGGCAGAGTGTTAGCAAGTCAAGAACTCGCACGTTTAATTAGAAGATGAAAGTAACGGAAATGAGGATGCTTAGATGTATGTATAGGCATACCAAGAAAGATAAGATTAGAAACAAAGATATATATATCAAGGTGGAGTAGCCTACGACCTATCACCTATATGGTGGACAAGATGTGGGAAGTGAGATTGAGATGATTTGGGCACGTAAAGAGGAGATGTGAGGGTCCGTTGGTAGTGTTAAGTCTAAGAAGAGGTAGAGGTAGAGATAGATCGAGAAAAAAAATTGAGAGATGTGATTAGCTAAAATATGGTTTATCTTTAGCTCACTAAGGACATGGTTTTATATATATATTAAAGAATTAGGGTAGAAAGTAAATTAGTAGGTAACCAAATGGTTTCTCCTTTCTTCACGGGAAAACATGTTTTTAGTTTAGAGCACCTTTTATAGCCCTCTTCTCCGTATGAATATCATTATTAGAATAGAGAAGTATCGAAAACACTTTTAAACTTGACGCAAATTATTAGTTTCATTTTAACTATTGACAAGCTTAAAAACATTCATTTACTTGACATACTCAAGCTAAATACACCCTATCTTGCAACATTAGTGAAATACACCCCTAAATTCTCATCAAGTTTAGGGATGTTTTCAACACTTCTCTCGATTTTTATTAAGAACTTCATGCTCCTGCATGAGTTTGAGACCACTTGTTATGTCATGTGACATATCATGAGTGTATCGGGGGTATATCTAAGTTTAGTTAGTTAAATAGAGGTGTTTTCAAGATTATCAATAGTTCAAGGATAATGAAACTAATAATTTACGCTAAATTTAATGGTGTTTTTGATACTTCTCTCGTTAGTATTTCATTATTATCTTATCTTTCAATTTATTACTATTGTTGTTCTTTTACTTTGACTATTGTTTAGTACTATTTTTGGTTGCCAATAATTTTGTTTTCTTTAGCATTTTAATCATAATTTGTACTCTCTTTTTTTCTCAAATATGTGTTGGAAAGACCTTTCTTGATCCTAGGATAAGTCGCAAACAATCTTTCTATTTTATATAAGATAGATAAAAGATCAATATACAACCCACGCTCCCCAAAAATTATTTATAAAATGTATTTGAAAAAAATTATATATTTTAAATACATTTTATATTGTACAAATTATCTATTAAAAAAATTCTCAAAAAAAGGTTATTTAGAAAAGGGAAAAAGGACAAATATATCCCAAAATTATCGTAAATGGTATATAGATACCCTTTGTCATACTTTTGGGACATTGGTGCCCCTACCGTCCAAAAATTAGAGCATATATGCCCTTCACTTTAACGGAAGACTAAATAGGGACACGTGACGCAATTTTATCATTCGATCCAATATTTAATAAATGTCAGATATGTGGATAAGATTATGACATGTGTATGTCCGTTAATATAACATGTATATATGCTCTAGTTTTTAGACGGCAAGAGCACCAATGTCCCAAAAATATGACGAAGGATATCTGTGTACCATTTACGATAATTTAAGGGTATATTTGTCATTTTTCCCTTTAAAAAACAATACTACAACTAAGATCTCATCACCTTTCCTAATCAATGATCGATACAACTTTGAAGTGAAAGGATCCATCTCATACAATTATTCAACCATATATTTAAAACTAGATACAATGGAGCCCGTGCAAGCACGGGCCCAATAATTGTTATTTTATTTATCTATTTATATGTGTGATTCATAATATTCTTAACATAATTTTTAAAATAATAT